AAATATGTTTTGCAACAATGTTTGAAAAAGTGACCGAACGACGCGATATTTGCGTGCTGTTTTGCTTTTACATTTTATACGGTCACATAAGTGAAACAGAGACAGTCTGACACACCAATGAACAGCAAATAGAACAAACGATATGGAGAGGCGATCAGATAAAGGGCATGTCTGGTTAATAACTCTAATTTTCAAATTGATATAACCAACGATTTGGCGTTGTAGTTGCTTGTGTATGTATAGTTTTTTTTCTTTCGCTGAAGCGATGCGTCACAAGCTACTACCTAACTCTAACTCTATCGGAAATAAGCTATTTAGCTCCCTGATCGATTTGCATGAGCGCAAATTTTGCAAATGACTTTCTGTCGCGCAATCCTGCACGATTTTTGTTCAGGCTCGTCGTCTCGCTTGCTCTCTCGATTCAACTAGAGCCACAAATTAGACAAATGAGAACATATTCTTGCAAAGAGATAAAAATCAAACACTCGCCAAAAAAGTGTATGCGGTATTTTTACGCGTCGGCACTAGCCAAAAATCAAATCGACCGTAATCGAAAACAATTGCGTGCTTGAGTTTCTCTTTAAGTAAAAACGCACATACAGCAATGGCGCATTTTTTTTTCGTTTTACTTGAGTCGCTGTCTGCAGCGTGCAACATGTCTATATTGAATATAATCAAATTGACAGTTATATGATTTCATTGTCAGCGATACAGCGTGCGGTCGATTTGTGCGCTTTCGTTGATTTCTGCGAAATTTGTGTGTGCGAATATATGTGTAAGCGGCAATTGCTCAAGTTTGACATAGAAATGAAAAATTAAAATCTTATTATAAACATGGATCAATTAATCGTCACGACTTAGAAGCAACTCGATTTCACAAGAACTAATAAATCAACCGATCGAAGAATGCATTTACATAGCATTCAAATGGATATTTGCAAAAAGCGATCAACTCCATTGTGTACGATTCAGAAAAAATGATGAAAATTGAGAATGAATTGACAAAATATTTCATAGATGAAGACAAAATATACGCCAAAATATTATGATTCTTGCGAATCGCGAGATAACATTTGTTGCTTCCGTCGACTGCGTTTGGACATTAGATTTTTTTTTGTAATTAATCATTGACCTTTAAATTTATCAACGCTTTTTTATCAATTCGGTGAATTTGTATTTTTGTAGCGAAAGTTGTTTTTTCAAATGTTTTGAATTCCTTTTATTGCAATGTCTTGATGCGGGAGCGAGAGAGATGGAGTGTAATTGACCACATACATCAGCCATTACATTTTTTTGATAATAAAATTAAATTACGGAATTGAATTCCGATGAACTGTTCAGTCGAAGTGGTGTTTTCATGTTCATACGAAGCACAAAATCGCACCCATACACTTAAGCGAGAGAATAATATTGGTTTGTGGGTCTGTCGGATAGCGGATCTAATCCATAAAAATTCACATTAACTTTATCGTTTATACTGTGTTCTTTTCATTACCGTATACCCACCCGGTTGAAATCGAAACTTACCGAAAAAAAACAGTGAAATAAGTATAACAATATAACACAATTCTAGCTCGTTCACTCTTTCAACGTTATTTCACACTTACCCGTTCGTTCCCATCGAATTGACAATCTATGTAAATTTGTATTTTCCTAAGAATAACTACGACAAAGCGCGTTAAGAATAGATCGGTCGTAACCGAACTCAACAAAGGCAACTCAACGTTGAAAGAAATAGAGAGTGAATGACACACACACACACACACAATATGCTTGAATGGGCCTAGGCAGATAGACCTATGTGCGTTCACATAATTGTTATTTGCTTTTTATGCAAATGAATATAGTGGTTGCGACGCACTGTTGTCGTGGTTGTACCAGCAGCTGAATCGTATACATTTCGTGTACATTTTTCAGGTAAACGATAAGAAATCTTATGAACGAGTTGAAAACACGTAATAAATTCTGTCAAACAACGAATTACCCGTCGTCCAATACAACAATCGATTGAAATCAAAGCATCGACGCTTATTTAGCTGAATGTCATTGTAAATAAAATGAATAAAACCCATCGTATCACTAAAGTTCATTTCGATTATCTAATTTTTACTGATAAATTGCCTTACTTTAATTCTAATCGACAAAATGTTCGACGGATTATAAAACGTATCGTTGAATATCGCTATATATTTTATTGACATTATCTATAGATAACTCAGCCGGTCTACTGAAATTATAAATTCCCGCGATTCAATCGAGCAAACATTGATAAAACATTCAACTACTATATTTATTGTTCACAAAAAAATTTTTGGATGTGAAAGGAGTGTTGTGAATGCCAGATTCCAGTGTGGGTAATTGAAAATTCGACTTTCATGTGTTTCGCTGTTGAATTTCAATTGATTGACATTTTCAGCAGACACATCATAACGGCATTCATTGCTAAATTCCAAGTTTGATGTAAATAAACACAAGACTAGTTCACGATACCAAGCGGATAAACCGAAAATAACACAGAGCAAAGATACCGGTCTCTGGCTGTCAATAAAAACGGCTTTATACGCTTTTTTTCTGAAATTAATTTTCATAAATTACTAAACCGTTGTCACCGTCTATATACGCGATTATAAAAAAAACCTCGCGACTACGTTTAGTTGACAAACAAACACACACACAAACACTCAAAAAAAAAAAAAAAAAAAACAAATGGAAGTGAGAAACGATCCATCGAATTGAGCAAGAGTAAGAAATGAGTAACACAAAAGACAAACAAATATTGCATTTTTTCAATTTGAGAATTATACTGTATGATATGAGCTCAAATAGTGTGAGAGTCACATGGAATAACAGCCAAAAAAACAATTGTTTATACATTCTGTTAAATAAAAACAAATTGGGATGATGAATGAAATGGAATTGAACAAAAAAACGGCATATACACATTTTAGCTCTGTGCGCCTACTGCCTTTTGTTTTCGATCATCATAAAAAAAGTGTTACTCTATGACACTACACCCGTCGTATTGTTTTCTGAAAGCAAATCCCATCGCCGGCTTTTCCCTCTCACTCTATCTCTCGTTCACTTCGTTAAGTCCATAATTGTTTATTGTTTAAAAATAGCGCGTTCGCGAAGTGCGTACACGCACCTTTCGGCTGATGTAAGCAACGCGCATATTATCCGACAGCGACACAAAAAACCGGTTCTTAGATAATAATTAAAACAGTAGAATGTATTGAAAAATAAAGGGCGCTCAACATTCGCCGCATAAAACGACCAAATGTTATATATTATTGTGCGACAATTTTAAATATTTCGCCGTATGATACCGTCTCGCACTCACACGGCAAGAACATCCAATTCCCGTTGCTTTGTAATCCAACAAAATTTTCAATTATTCCTGTTCGCTACCAGCTTTGCTTTTTTGTCATTATTTTTGGGGCCTGAGCGAGCAAGAAAAAAAATTACGATTTGTTTACCTACTTGCTTATGTCAATGTTCTCTTGCACTCACAATGTTTGTTTAATTGCTTGACGAAAGTAAATAATGATGATGATGAGTGATTTTTTTTTATTGTTAAGTTTTGTGACAGATTTTGAAATGATATTTTTAAACAAATCGCTCTTCATTCTCATTTTCCGATAATTTTTCGGAATATTTCCCCAATTTTAAAATGACACAGGAAAATGGCACAATTTCAACCGAAAAACAATGGCTCATTGACAAACCCGTCGGCCAAACAAAAAATTTAACTTAAGAGTTCTAATGAATTCACGGGCACTTAACCATTGAGAATTATATATACGCTGTTATCGCGATCATATTTTTGAATTATACTAATTACACATTGGTGTAAGCAAAGTACCATTTTTGTCAGTTTCAAGCTCGAAAAATTTCGGCAGCGTAGTCGCTCATTTCTTAATGACTTTATTCATTGCTAGAAAACAAAACCGTGCTCCGAATGCGGTTTCTATCGACACCGCACCAAAAATTCACAATCATAATTATAATTATTTCAATTTATTCAGAAACTGTTTTCAGTTTTCAGAGGCCCCGTTTTCAACTCGCACACACACACACACACACGAAATGGGAAATTACTTTAAATACACTCTCTTACTGTCGACTAATTATTCTGTCAAACGATCTATGGTCGAAGTGAATGCACAAGTAAATGGTATTGTAATTGGGCTATACCGACAATTTTAAAATTTTACAGACCTAAATGACACGATTTGCCTTCGCACTAAATGCGATCTTTTGATATATATTAATTGCTCACAACTAGAAGATTGAGATGATTACATTTTATGAAGATGAAAACAGACAATTTTAGCAGAGAAAGAAATGAAAAGATCTTAAATAATTGTGTGCAAAAATGGTTGGCAAAAAAAGCGAAGCAATCTCTTTGTTTCTATGCGCTTATTTGATCGTCATGGCATCAATAATAATACATAATGATAGATTTTCGGTACGTTCATATGCAAAAATTGGCAAAAAAAGCCATCGGCCACGTTCACAATATTTTTAAACAAACGGTATCTATAATTATGTTATTTGGCGAATTTACAATGCATAAAGTATATATTTATCTCAATTGGACTCTATGTAATTCGTTGCGTCTGCTTTAAGACAACACACTCGCATCAGACAAAAAAACACACACGAATGACACTTATGTAACAGATCCTAAAACTGTCGGTAAAACGAAACACATACACAAGATATTTATTACCCAATTACCTGAACCATGTCAAAGTGAACGAAAGACCCAAATCGCGGCCAGATCCACGAATGCAAAAACGTTCAGCACTTGTCACAATTCAATACCTACCAAACGGAATTGATGTGCCAAATGGCTGTATTTTTTACTGTCAAAAAGTATAGTCAACATGTTTCCTTGTAGTCATCATGACGATTCGCACCGACAAATAACATCTTGTTTGTTCACATCACTTGAACAACAAGAAGAAAAAGAACAACGAATGCGTTTGTTTGGCGATTTCAAATCATTTTTATTAGCAATTCCAGTGGAAATGACAAAAAGACTGGATCAACCGAACATTGATTTGCTCCACTCATTTGCGATCGATGTGAATTCATTGTGCTCGTCGTTTTCGTGCGACAACAGGGGTTTTGCTTTTCAATACATCCCGCCGAAATTCGTCGTACATCGCCTTGTTGTTGTGCACTCCCATGAATATTTGACCATTTTCGACGGCATCGTTTGTACGTGCTATCATTTCAGTGCGGCTCAAAATTTCCCGATTTTGACGCTCAATTTCCGTTCCGAAAATAAACGACAAATAGATCGCCACTTCTGATGGTATTTCACGTCGATACTGTGTTTTTTGTTATCAAAGAAAATGCAGAATTGAATTTTATTTATTCAAGGTTATTCAATTTCCTTTTTTTTCTACTTCTTCATTTTTAACAATTAAATGAACGAAAATAAAATTCGTAATGTCATCTTTTTTACTTACATATTTCTTTGTATTATTCAATGCCATTATTTCTCGACTCGAATGAGTTGTCTGAGGAATTTTCCAAACACCTGCACAATTTCACTGAATTTTTATTTTGTCGCACACAGAAGATTGATTGATGCGTCGTCACTCTGAGATCTACAGAACGAAAGCCAATTTCGAATACACAATATTGACAGCTTTGAAATTGTAAACAATATCAAAACTGACTGATGATCTAAATTGGAATTGAACGAAACCATTCAACATTGACATTTCAAGCCCTTGTCAAAACTGCACAATGCTGGTGAATCGAAAAGCCAGTCAAAATTAAACTTTCTTTTTTTTCTTCTCTGCTCTAATCGTAACATGAAAGTGTTCGTTTAATGCGTTATGTTTCTGGTTTTTAGCACAAAATCAATTCGATGGTTTAAAGAGCGTGTTAGAAAAGGTGACCGCGTAAGAGGCAAACACAATGAGTGCGAGAGAGAGAAAGAGGCAAACGCATGATTTATCTATCGAATATATTCACAGGTGTTTGCTATACAAATTGCATGCGGTATAACATGTTAGTTTTTTTGTTGTTCGTTCAGTTTGGTCGAATGTATGTCAATTCGATTGGCATAGCAATTTCAGCATGTGTATCGTGTACGAATCGACTCTTTACCAAATTACATCACTTGCATTTTAATTACGCCATTAAATATGCCAAAGTACAATTTACATTGCTGATGGCTTCAATTCGATTTTTTTCTTCCAAAATGTGCGAAAGAGCGCGCTCGCGCACGTGTGGCGTTAGGCTAATGCCAGTCGTTTGCATACACTTTGCGGATTTTGTTTTGTTTTCGCTCTGCGTGTGTGTGTGTGTGCTCGGCCAGCAAACAAATCGATTTGAACCAAGACAATTTGCATGAAATGAAACGCTCAGCGAGCGCTTCATGTTCATTAAATTTCCTTCATTTTGCAGTTGATTTGATGATAAAAATGTATAAAATTAGAAATGATCTTCGGCCCAATGCGCTTGTGAATGAGAGAAATATGCAATCATCGATAATTTTCGCTTTGAAGTTCACTGAACTGTATTTTATTTTGTTGGTTTTTTTCTCTGTCATGAGCTCGCGATTTCGATTTTTAACATCGGATCGAAAAGTATGCTGTGGTTTTTAAACGAATGAGCTCGGATATTAAAATTCACCCGCATGAAGAAAAAAAAGCGGGAAGAAGATCGATTTCAACCTTATCACAAATTGTGTATATGCTAACGTGATGTAGAACCGTTTGAATTAATTTAAGCCACAATTTCGCGTTTTAAATTGCCAAATGGTTTCACAGTAGCCAAAAAGGAAGTCACAAAGAACACGATTTTAAGCTATTTAATTAATAATAATCATTAAAAATGTTTACCTTTTACGCGTGGACTTTTTTCCTCATCTAAATTGACTTTTAGCCATCAGTATAAATGCGTGCCATGTACTTTTCAGTGTACACATTCTAAAAGCCAAGCACACGCGATGATGATTCATTTGTTACTTGGCACAAAATATGAATACGAACAAGATAACGCACGAAAGACATTTCGATAGAAATGAACGAGAGAGAGAGAGATTTATTTTTTTAATGACATCGATTTTTGTGTGGCTTTTAATTTCTTTTCTTTATTTCTCTCTTTCTCTGGTCAAAAAATGAAATGAGACAATCTATTTATTCAACCAATTACTACTTATTATTCTCAATTCTTTGTGTTTATGCCGTTCTCACGCGTTCTTTTTCACTCTGGCACTTCATTTTATATTTCGTTTATTTATTCCATCAATTAATATCCAAATGACGATCGTATGAATGTATGTAGTGAATGGATATTGCCAAAATATTCAATTAGAATGATATTTTTGTGTGTGCTTACTTCCAGTTTCAAAGAAAGAGTTTCATAAATACATACAAAAATGACACTACGTCACCACATCTCTTTCTCTTCCTCTTCTATCTTTGTTGAGTTACCCGTTCAAAACGTAATATAATATTCTGTTGGATTTTTTCTTCAACGATTCGTGTGTGAACACGATTAAGAAAGAGTTAAAAGTGACTAAGTAAAGAAAGAACTATTGTACCACCGATAATACGTACAACCGATTTGATATCAAATTGCGATAAGAATATCATTCATTCTATAGTTGCTATCAGGAACCCAAAAAAAAAACGGAATGACATCTGAACTATGTATAATCTACATGTGTGTATACAATTCTGTCGAAGAAATGACGCCGTATCATCTAAGTATTTCACCATATTAGTCCAGATGTCTCAAGCGAAAAGCCGCAAATCTGCCATGTGACATTTTGTGATTTATGTACAGTTTTACAACTCAAATCAAAAACCTCCGACAATCTGCTTCTTTTTTGATAAAAAAAATCCGTAAATTTATCACTGTTTCTGTCGCTGTTTTTTTTCACCGGTACTTTAGACAGAAAAAACGTGTTTATAGTTCTGCAAATATTTATGTGTTTTTAATCTCGCATAATTATAATGAACAAATAAAAATGTTGATGCAGTACAACAAAAAATTAGCAAGCAGAAAAAAAAACACGCCAGAGTAACGCGTAACCACGCTAAAAAAAGCACTGATAATAAATGTTTTATAAACCAATATTAAAAAATAATAATAACATTTTTGGCTATCTATCGAATCGGTGGGAATTTTTGATTTTATTTTTGGGCGAAATTCGTGCATATAAAAAACACGAAATGCAAATGAAACAAATATTTTGATTAAGCAAAGCAAATGCAAATCATTGATATTCATAACGAGTAGTTCTTGTTTTGGTCGTTGGTTTTTTTTTCTTCTCATTTCGTGTATCTCTTTCTTCCTCTCACTTGTCAATATTTTCATGTTTTATTTCGGTTGGTTTTCGATATTTTCAAGCACGGCTCCAGCGATGTGGAATGGTACGAAAATGCTAAATATGTGTTTTTGAATAATAAATTATATGCGCGATATTTGATTCGAATATGGATTTTTTTCCTCTTTCTCTGCATCGATTGCGTCGATGATATTATACATTTTTAGTCTGGCCAACTAATAAACGGGCACACAAGCGAAAATAAATTATGCATAGAATAATTTTTAATTAGTAATGAATTCAATTAATACATTTTTTCTTTCTCTGTTGTTTTTTTTTCGATATTTACAGTTATTCAACAATTCAAAGGGCAATGGTGGCGGAAACGGTGGCAGCGGCGGTGGCGCCGGTGAACATCATTTAAACTCACAACTTCAGATGCGCGAAGCGAAACCATACAAATGTACACAATGCTCGAAAGCATTTGCAAATTCCAGCTATTTGTCACAACATACCCGCATTCATTTAGGGATTAAGCCATATCGTTGTGAAATTTGCCAACGAAAATTCACACAATTATCACATTTGCAACAGCATATTCGAACTCATACCGGTGACAAACCGTACAAATGCCGTCATCCGGGCTGTCAAAAGGCATTCTCACAATTGTCGAATTTACAATCGCATTCACGTTGCCATCAGACTGACAAACCGTTCAAATGTAATTCATGCTATAAATGCTTTACCGATGAGACCGCATTACTCGAACACATACCAAAGCACAAAGAATCGAAACACCTAAAAACGCACATTTGTCAGTATTGTGGTAAATCGTATACGCAAGAAACCTATTTGTCAAAACATATGCAAAAGCATGCCGAACGACCGGACAAACGGCCGTCAATTCCATCCGGTTTGAATTTGACCGCAATGAATCGCAATTTAAATATCTCAACAAATGGTCCAATCAGTGCTGAGCATCCGTATTGGCCAAAGGTGAGCCCCGATTCGGCAGCCAATTTGGCAGAGGCAATGCAACAACAACAACAGCAACAACAACAACAAAATCAATACGATTTTACACTGCAACAGAATAACAGCGATCATTTACAAAATCAGCATCGAGCTTTAATCAATGATCATCACAGGTTAAATGGTTCGACGGCAAATGGTACATCGAATACAAACGATGATAATGGTGAAGATTTAGTTATTTCACGTCAAAATGCAACCAATTTGGCACAGCATTTAGTTGCACAAAATGTGGCTGCAGCTGTGGCGGCCGCATCATCGGTAGCACCAAGTTATGCCGATGCAGCTTCAATCACAAAAACCACCTCAGCATCAGCTTTTACACCGATAAATGCAATGCATTTGAACACCCTCGGTCATCATCCGGTCATGGCACAACGACCATATCTCTACGATTTCCAAAATAAAAATGTTCAACAAAATGTCAACAATTCATTCCCGAACAATTTGATTTCGCTGCACAACATCCGAAACTATGCACATCAACCGACCGGACCCGGCGGTATGATACCCGGCGAACATTTGCTCGGCATCGGTGTTGGATCTGGTGTCAAAGACAAGGGACAATAAATGACACAACAATGGCATAAAAAGTAAATAAAATCGATTCAAAGATGAAAATGAAAATAATTATGCCATTTTGCAAGACATTATGAAATGCATTTCTTTTTTTACTTTGATTTTGATTTCATCGATTTATGCGACATATTCAGATAGATCGTCAATCGATTTGCCGTACACAATATTACAATAATGTATGATACAGGTTAAGATCTCACACACACACAGACACACACACACAATGTGAAATGTAAATTTGTATTTAAAACTCACACACACAGTAAACATTTTTTTTTTTTTTTTGAAATCAAATACGAATACCGAATTGAAAAATCTAAATGATGTGAATTGAAATAATAGATGGTCTCGGGACACCGCGAACGTTCGAATAGACTTGAACATCATTGTTCAATGGAAGAAATAAAGTGTAAAATCAACCGAGGGGTAGTTTGTACCATAAATATTAAACACAAGATTGTATGACATGAAATATTATTTAGAACATTAGACATTAGGAATTTATTTTGCAAAAATGAAGGAAAAAAAACGAAAAAAAAATAACTAATTACCAACAAAGAAAGTCGATTTGAGCGACCGCAATTCCATTCATAGAATGGACTTTGAAGTGCAAACACATTATAAAAATCAGCAATTTTCACTTTACTGTAATTGAACGAAATAAAAAACTAATAAAAACATACAAAGCAGTAGAGAGAAATAAAATGCCAGTTTCGAATTTCATAAACTGAGCTAAGTGAAACACACTTGAAAAAAAAATATACAAAGCACAAAAATGCCTTGCGTTCTTTGTGCATATGTGTGTGGTGACTTAAAGTAAATTATTGCACACCCGTCGCAATGACGAAAAGAAGCAAAAAATAGTAAGAATGGACCGGGACCGAAAAAGAACCACATGTACCTATCAACGATAGAAACGTGCTCCCGAATAAATGAAGAAATTGTCGTGCAAAATAAAGCAAACAAGACAACATGGATACATTTAACTACTTAATTTACAAAAGAAAATGTTAATTGTAATATTGAAGGCAAACAAATATTCATTGATAAAATTTAATTAAAATTATTATGAAATGCAAATAAAAACAATGGAAAAAAACATTTAGTCTTTAGAGAAGAGAAATATGAATGAAACTTAAGATATGTAAGATTTTCATTCGTTTTCGTTATGCTTGCAGCGAAAATATTTTTTTTTTTTTGGATTAGGTTAAATATATATATGTCAAATACTGAATTAGAAAAACAAACAATTTTGAAGTACATGCTAGCAAATAAAGAAAAAGAAAAATACACATTTAGTTCTAATTTTGACTTTAGAGCCCGGATCTTGAGAAATCTGTAGAACAGCCGAATGTAAGCGTGTGTCGAATATTGAAATTCGGAGACAGATAATTTAGTATAGAAATAAATGAATGTGCTCAGTTTCCAAATTGCCGAATTTGATTTTCAAATGACTTACCGACAAAAGATGTTAAATGTTCATCTCTCCGGCGCTCTAGCACAACCAGCCAACAAATCACTTCATTCACAACAATATTGCATGTATTGTTGGCTAAATGTGTAAACGAATTTGTAAGAAGGCATTCAATTGCATAAATACACACAACTAAATTCAAACAATAATAAATATTTACTAAATTAGTTTATGATTAGTGATTAAGATTTAAACCGATAAGCAAACAACAACAACAACAAATCTTTATTATTGAAATCCATTGAAGGAAGAATAAAAACAAATTTATTATTCGTAAATAAAGGAAAATTTATTGCATAAATATTAACACGGTGTGTTTTGATTTGAAATTTTGCATTTTAGCTTGTACTTCGCGATTAGATGAACCGGATGCAATGGATTTTTGAAAAAAAAAAATGGAAAATTTTATTCAAATTAAGGGCAATTTCACTCCCACTCTCTCTTTGCTCTCCGTTGGATGCCAAAAATATCGATACCATTGGATTGATAATTGATGATGATGTTTGGCGATCAACACATTAGCTATTTATTTATAAAACAAAGTGAAAATCGTTTTCGACGATTAAAATGCAAAACGGTTTGTTTCTTTTCTCTCTTTCTCTCTCTCTCTCTCTTCGATCAACAAACAACTAATTAAAACTGAATGTTGATTTTTATCTCACGGACGGTGAGATAAAAGCGTGACGAAACCGCATCGTGTTTTAATTTCGATTCATATTTTAATTTTGATGCTTTTCTATCGGCTCATTATATCGATTGCTTTTATTTCAACAACGGACTAATCGGAATCGATTAGAAGAATTGAACAAAAACGGCCATGTGCTGTGTGACAAAAATCTCACAATCGAGATTGATTAGAAGAATATTCGAGTGATCGCTGATGATTAAGAGATAAAATTGACTTTATTAATTTTCCATAAAAACAAGTTAAAGATTACACGGAAAGGCGCTTAATATTCCGTTTCAAAATTAAAATGTGTGAGAGTTTAAAAAAAATAGTATGCGCATCGCTATCGAACTGATTTAATATCGGTCATTGGTTTGAATAAAAGCGCCGACAATTGAGTCATTTTTCGGCGATAAAGTCAATCACAGCCAATCTAAATTCGACGGTGCCATAGTTTCGGTTAAATTTGTGCAAATGTGATTGACCTTAATTATTCGCTTGACATGCAAATCTAAGTACAGAGTACATACACGCTCAAAAAATCACGCGCAAAACAAATGAGATGTCAGCAGAAAAAACCATTCATTCGAACGATTCGGCATCAATCATTTTCCTTTCTTTTTCAGCTTTGCCCAATTTTTGTCTCAGAGTCCGGTTGAGATAATGTGAACCTTCTTACAATAGTAGCTATTAAGAAGAATATTCGGTTGAAAAAAAAAACAATACGATACCGCATGTGTTCTTAGAAAATTAATATTCAAAGCGAAAACGAGTAGTTTTATGTAAACAACAATTTCGCATATTTAAAGTTGATTTGAAAGAAATCGTCCGGCGAAAAGAAAGTCAACCAACTCTTGTATGTAAAAAAAAATCGATGATGTCATGGTTAAAAGAGAGACACCATTCCGATAGCCAAAAATTAATTTGAACATTCGCTGTCTTGCACCTGAAACATACCCGAATGTGACTGATAAATGCTTGCAAGCACACAAAACCAATACCGTGGAACGCTGTGATCGATGGATACATAGTGGTAACACACACACATACACACGACCGTTTGATAATAATATGGGCAAAGTGTGATCGTTGTGTTCGTATGCATGCTGGCACATAAAATACTCGCCGTCATATCACAAGCCATTTACATTTTAACCATAATATGATGAAGACCCACATGCAAACCGCGATCAGCACCGCAACGAATTCACAATTTATTAGTCACATTTTTCTTCTTGGAATTGAAGTCGCACATTTGATGAACTATTTCGTTCACGTTCAGCCGTATGGTGAAAAAAAAAAACAAACGGTAAGATAGCAGATAAACGCAATAACATAAAAAAGTGTTGCTTTTAAAACCGAAAATAAACAATAAAGAAGCAGACGATAGATGAATAGTAAATTAGATATTTGTGGAGCTTTCTTTTCTGCTGAATATTATTCCCACCTCCATATGGGAGGAGATCGATATTTATGACCGGTTGGTTCACCACTTTGTCGTCGTGTGTCTATTTTGAATGATGTCGTCTTTGCGAAACCAATTAGCATTGCCAAAACATCTTGCGATCGATAAAATGCTTGCCAAAAACCCCTCTTCCCCATTAATAATGCTTAAGATTTGAACAACGGCCTATGGATTCTTAGAATTTGTTTCACAAGAATTTTGATTAACTTGACATTTATTTCGATCGTATTCAATTCCATTTTTGGTTTTAAAAAACAGGCTTTTTTCTATTGTTATACTCGTCTACAGACGAATTTCAATGAACCATAAAATGAGCATATGTAATTGTGATAAATCTCTTTTGGTTTTTTAGTACACGAAAATTGGCACTTCTTGTTAATCTTTGAATATAAAAACAAAACTGGAATTTCGAGTTTTTCACTTGGATTCAATTGCAAATTTATGCATTTTAAACTTGCTAAGGAAGTCATCTTACGACATCTCTATGGCAAAGTGAAGACATTTTTAATATACATTTATCATGTGCAGTAGCGAATTGCCTCTTGAAATTAATAGTTTCTATCGCCGTATCGAATATGAATTGACTATATCTTATCAATTCATATGATGGCCCCTTCCAGCAGCTGGAGTCTATTCAAAATTATAGTGGACAGATATCTAAAAGAAGGTCACTGAAGTAGGGAGTCAATTTTTAGCCTTGGACTTTGCTTTATAGTGTTTTAGAAAATTTAAATCATACTGCACCTTGTGAATCAAACTAAATGAAGGAGTTGTAAAGCGATATTTGTCTGATATAAAACAGGAGTAAGAAAGAAATGAACCATTTTTATTTTGCATATCATTTTATTTATTGCATAACAACATAAATGAGAATTCAAATAAACCCGTCATTCTTACAAGAATGAATGCTATTGAACATTTTAAAAATTGTAATTTCCTTGCTTAAGAAAAGGTAAGTTACAGCTATGGCAATGCATCTATTGAACTAAAAAGAAAAACACAAAATTGATCAACGTAAATTAAAATCTAATATTTGCACCGCTAATCAAGCCTCATACAAAAATGAAAATTGTTTCTTTTGTGAAATGTATAAAATGTGAGAAAAAGGTATGCCTCTGCCTTGGATTAAGAACAAGATCACAATATAACAATGGTGATTTTCAATTAATTAATATCACCAAACAAAACTAAAACCTTAACAACGAAAAAAAATAACGCTACATTACAATAAAAAAAACGGAATTTCCCCAACTCATAATTACAACCAATAAACTCACACACCATTTTCAATACAATAAGTAAAATACATTCAATTACAGAGAGTTTATTTACAGTACACCATTTGTTTCTGTTTACACACAGAAAGAAAAAATGTGGTATTTTTAATTCAATTTTGGTAGATTTAATATGAAATCAACCAACAACAAATTAAATTTACCATTTTTGACATCTCTTAGGCATATTTTTCAAAAGAGACGAATAAGTCTCACCAAATTCATGGACTAGCGTCATCTGTGATTCCGAAAAGTTGGTAAATGTAATGAAGCAGTTTGTAAAACTTATTCAACAAATAGTCACTTTTGAAAAATATGCCTCAGAGATGTCAAAAATTAAATCTACCAAAATTGAATTAAAAATACCACATTTTTTCTTTCTCTGCAGTAAGTAATATCTATGAAATAGAAAAAAGTTATATCGCTCCTGATACAACATTTGGTCAAAATGGGTAATTTTTTTTGCTTTTTTCTTGTTTATTAGTTGAACCAAATTGGATAATTTGTTCTACAATCGATCAGGTAATTCAGTGATAATTCTCTAACAAATTAATTCATTTGTTTCGATTGAGATGACCGATGCTCTTTCTCATTCGTTGTGTAATTTTTTTAAAAATTTGTCAATCCAAATGGTTAAAATAAATCAAATAATAATGATGAGAGAAAAAAAAATTGCAGTGACATTCACAGTTCAATACTTTAGTTGTTTCACTTCACACAGATAAAATTATACGAATAGCACGTTTCCGTCATTAAAAAAAATTCAAAATTAAACTAAACCCAATTGAAAATAATGAGATAATAAAACTAAAACTAATTATCTTTTTACAAATAAAAAAAAGACAAATCATTTAAAAGGTAACTCGGCATCTCAATTAGTATGTAAATTGTACTGTATTCAAGAGATAATTCAAGCTTTGTTTGTATTTTGTCAAAATTCCGAAATTATCCTCGTTTTAAGTGTTTTCATTCCACGGCGATGATTTTGAACATCAAAACGTAACCGTTTTATTGAGCTCACAGTTACTTGACATGTTTTGTTAAATCGTCAGTTTGATAGAGTGTTGTCAGTAGTTCATTGAATAGCACGAGCACCAGTCGTTTATTCAGTGTTTTATGTTGCCACATGGAAAAACTATTCAATAATCCATAACGAGTTGTCTCTGATCCCACTACATGTTTTAAATCATCTGAACATTTTCCCACAACACCGGTCGGACAACACCGATTAATCGATATGAAATGACATGAAAAGAATGAAACAAAGCAAAGAAAAATCAAACCATGATTGATTAAATTTTGATGATTGGTCGATTGGTGTTTTATTAACAGATTTTTATGTTACCTGCTAATAGAGTGAAAAGAGCCACTTTCGCAGCCATTCGTGTCCTCAATTTGGTGTTTTCATCACGTGAAACACTCTGATTTGATCGCTTCCCATCCGGCCAAATTGTGTTTCTGCACATCATAAAAATACATTTGAAAAGACAATTTACATGGAGACATGGTGCAAAAATGTCGCTTACAATATAATTCCGAGCAAATTTTCGATTTTCTCCAATTCAATAGTGGTCTTAGCCGCCTGAGTGATCCGTTTGTTGGCCGCTTGACTAACCCATGGAGCACCTGCCAATTAAATCAATTTCATTAAAATGCAAATATTCAAATAGTGAAATTTCGCGAAATGAAATAACATTCTAGGAAATTGAGCCAAAGAGAGAGAAAAACACACGAACCCAAAAGTCGATTGATCAATCCACGACGAAGCCATTGTGATCGTGCTTGTAAATCAAACACTTCATCCAATAAATTTAGAGCCGATGTTAACGCCGGGTATGCTGCGTATTCGGACGAGTGCTAAAATTCCAAGAAGTTGTTCACGTCAATGTTTTCTAAATATATGCGAAACGAATAAAATAGAATTGTGAACACAAAACAAACCTCCAGATGTATTGGTGTGACATCCAAGAAAGCAGTTTCTTTGGCCGGTCCCTTGCCCAAAAGTATTCGTGCCATGCCTATAAGAACAAAACCATTGAATTTCAGATCACACATCTATGATATATAGTATATTTTTAGTTTTCAGCAAATTGATTTCATTTTACGAACCTCCAACTAATGTGTCAGGCATATTTTTTATCGTACGCATTCCTGATTTAAATGGATTCACAATCGTTTCAATCTGTAAAAATAAATCATCAAATGAAATGATTGATTTAATTAATACCGTCGAGAACATTAAACATAATTTATACAACAAGTTTTTTTTCGATCGAATATGATCGTGATTTTACACCGGTTTTTTGCAATTTTTTTTCGAATGCCTATTTTTGTCAATAAACACAAACATTTCTAGTTCCTCTCATTCGATTTTGCATTCAAGCCATCGTGCGCAATAAAAAACATGTGTTTTGTATTATTTCATGTTTTTTTCACATTTGTATCTTTTCTATTTCATTTCTCTTTTCTGTTTACTTCTTTTCGAGTTTTGCTTCTTGAGAGTGAAAAAGTTATGACTTTTTTGATTATTAGTCACGATGCAGACAAGCACCGTCACACACACACACACACACATATTATAATGTCAAATGACATAAAGATCTAGCGTCAAGTGTGTGTGATAACTGTTTGTCATCGATCCGTCAATAAATTTGCATTTTAATTAATAGGCCTAGAGTTTTTGTTTGCTTTACGAATGGCGTCAATCGTAAAATATGTAACCATGAGATGTGAGGTAGTAACTGACCCGAGTCAATAAAATATTGAGATGGAACAAAAATTGCCAATAACACGGCTAAATTGAAAATAATTCTTTAATAAAAGTTTATAAAAAATTCCCTTAAATTAAAAGAATGTTTTAAGCTAATTTGTACAGTTTTTTTTTCTTCTTCAAAGAATTACCGTTCTAATGACAGCTCCGCCGTGGATTTTTTTATCATTTATGTCTGGTTCGAGAAAGTCACGTAGGATCGAATGAAGTTCATCATTATCGTCAGCCCGCATACTTATCATTTTTAGAAATTCGTTCAGTAATGTCATACGATGTTCCAACACTGCACGCTGTGTATTTTGAAACGTTTTCTTTGCTGGAAAGGGAATTTGCGCTATCGATGGAAACTGAAATTTTATTTCAATTTTTTTTTATTTAATAAGCCAATATTTTCGGATAAAAAAAATGCAAATATCATTGAATGCAAAACAAGAAAATCTTACCCGTTTTACTAGCACTTTCTTCAAGTCCAAAAATCTAGAGTATCTGCGATAGACATGCCAGCTCTTCTGTTGATTATCTTCGATGACGGTGACTTGAATAGCATAAACGGCAAATTGACCTTCACAATTGATCGCTGTATTGATGATTTTCGCTGATAATCGATGCTGCGGACAAATTAACGTCACTTTTTCATTGTCACTTTTTTGGGGAATGTTGCTATGCTTGGGAGATCCTTCATTGTCACTTTTCGGTTTTTTCCATTCGTTGACTGGAGAAGATCCAGCTTCTTTAGGTAATGGTTCAATTCGGATATCGTCAATATTCTGAACAATTCCGGTGCAATCGCTGTGCGATCGATAATGTTTGCTAACACCAGCACCAATAACATCAAGTAAATGGGTGTCAGGAGTTTTGACTGATTCCGTCCTATCGGATTTTTCCATTGCTTCATTTGCTTTAACTACTTGATGTTTCGGTGAAATTTTATGTCCCGTATTCAGTGTTAAGAAATCGCTGCCATTTCCGTCTAACGCAATAAAATCAATTTCGTCGTCGAACGTCAAATTGCTCTCCGAATTACTGTCGCTGCCTGTTTCACACTGATTCAGCAATTGTGTGGCTGTATTTGAATCAATTTCACCGTCTACATTATAGTTACTGTAAAACTCTAGTTCCAACAGCAATTTCCGGTATTGTGAACTTCGATAAAAATTCGCTAGAAAAATATCCTCATTTTTTATCTTTTCGTAAACATATTTACAAATCGATTCGAACCACATTGGATCCGGATTAATTGACACATCGTTCAACCGAATGTTCAGGGTTTCAATCAGACCAGAGTCAATATTCAACGCATTCGATGATGTTTGTTCCAAATACTAGAAGAGAAATTGACATTTTTTTCTCAATAGAAATCATATTGCATTGAAATCGAACAAAATGTACCTCTGTGTAAATATTGGTAGCTTTGCTGCGAAGCAATTTGATCACATCGTCACGGGCTCCTTTCAATTTATTCGACTGTAATTCAACCGTATATCTGGTTACTGTGGCTTTCCAATCTGCAAGTAGATGGACACAAGTGTAAAAAATATGATAAATGACGTAAAGAACTTTTCTTATACCTTTTGCCGATAAATAAAATATCACATAACGTTGATGATTTGACACACTCAAATAATCCAAATAATAAGAAAGTGTTAGTTCTTTGTTCAAGAGCTCGTCCAGTTGAATAATTGGTAAATTGGCCGTGGAACTACAATCACGTTCTGTTTCACGTTTATTATTTTGCATGTAACTCAATCGCAAATCAATCATTTTCTGTGCATATTTTAAGCTGCTCATCTCAGCAGATGCATTTGGATCTTTGTATTTCTGTGCGTGTGGAAAGAAAACACAAAAGAAAACATTGAACAAAAAGCGAATAATAAAATTAACAGCAAATACAGTACCGCATCCATTTCTTTTGTAATTAATTGTCGAACGGCCCGCAATTCGGCCGCATCATCACATTGGCGTAATAATTTTAGAAAAATTTCACTGGTCGGTGGTTCTTTTGTCAACTAAATTGGAATGGGATGTAAAAACGACAAATATTAAATAAATCCAATTAAATCCTCTTCAAAGTGAAAGCACTCACCGATTTGGCAACTTGTAAATTGATAAAATCCGGTTCTGATAACAAATCGATGACTGGTTTGCACACAACATTGGCTAGCAAAGTGCTTAGGAACCTGTAAAAATGGTAAAAAATGATCAAACCCCTGCAAAATTGAATTTTAATTTCGAAAATAATTACATTCGTAATGGAATGCATGCAAAATCATCTTCCGGTATCGTAAAATAAAGCACCGTTTCCATACAATGTGTCAAGTAATCTGAAAATTGAAATTAACGTCATGGATTTTTTATCAAAAATTCTAACGCAAACTTTACCTTCAAGCACTTGATCGTCTAAACACTCCTCCCTGTATAGTTCGCATTGATTAAAAAATGCTGTAATAAGTTTGGCTTCGCTGGCATCGCCGACCGGCGATTTATCGGTGGACTTTTTTCGACTGTGATCCACTGATTCGTAAAATTTCGAATTGCCAAATGTCCGTTGAACGGATTGATTATTAAAATTGAGATCGGTTTCGCTTTTGTTGCGTCGATGTTGATTCATTTTTCGATTGGCATTTTTTGATTGGCGTTGTGGCGATGAATTCGACGTATGCATTTGAAATGAACTTTGGCTACTACCCGACGATGATTTCGTCTCGTCCAATTGTAAATTCAATGTTGCGTTGGCCTTTCGATACAGTCGTGCATGCATTGCAACGATATCTACTAATTTTGTGGTCATCAATGGCACCCATTGTGTGTTTTTCACTCGAGTGCACACATTCTGAACGCTTTCTTCAATGCAGTTACGTGTTCGAAACTCACTGAATTCTTTGTTATCCGACAACGAAAAAAACCACGAATCGATAAAGTCCCGCAAAATATAGTTGATGATTGTGTGTAACAATTGATCGATTTGCTTGTGACCGCTCAGCATTGTACGGAATTTCTTCTTTGGCGATCCATGTTGATCTAATACCGCTGAATCGTTATGTAATTTATAGATGGGAGTTGTTTCGATCACTGGCACTGCACCACATTCTTCGCCCATGTGAACATCACCTGTGAATGGTACGGTCAAACCCCTGCAAAATTGAATTTTAATTTCGAAAATAATTACCCGTTGTCTCAACCGAACGTCGCTTATCCGTGTGAATTTTTATGGTATCAAAAAGTTTCCACTTGTGATGTTCGTCTGCCGAACTGCCACTGTGATGACTTGAAATCTCCTTGTCCACATAATTGGCTGGAACAGATATTTTCTCTGCAGAAGATTTATAATCAATTGATAATGGATGGGATATTGTTTGTGAAACGATGCCGCCATCTTTAACACTTTTTGAACTTTTTTTGAATAGAAGTTCAATGCCGGAATCGATCAGGCTCTTTTTCCGCGAATCAGAATGCAATGGCAAATTTTTGTGCTTTTTTGACTCAGTTTGGATGCGTACATCGGGCGATAGCAAAATTATTGGTTTTTTATCATGATCTGCAAATGGTAACAACAAAAAATTTACATTTAACATTTTCACACACACACACACACTCCACTCCGATTTGTCGTTAATTATATATTAAAAATTAAGAAATTACTAGAAATAATATAGAAAAAAAATTACCAAATAAGAACAAAAGGTGTGTTGTTTCACGCCATGCAAAATTAGAAGTGTTTTGTGAGAGGCAGCATCAAAATAAAATAATAAAACTTTTATTTACAACGGAAGTTGCGAAAAAGATTAGAATTAAAAAAAAAAATACAGAAAAAAACGCAAAACTTTGTGTACTTTTGACTTTTGATAAAGTCCACGTGCCACGGTGCAACGAACAAAATAAAAAGCAAAATAAACTTGAATGGATTTGGATATATGAAATGCTAAGCAAATAATAAAAAAAGATTAAAAATCAAGAATTTTTGAATGTGATCATGCAAAAAAGCAGCAAACAGTTATCTATGAATAATAAGTATATAATGTGTGTTTGTGTATTTGTAGTAAATGATTTAGTGTATATAAACGTGTGTATTTGTTCAATTATTGTTATGTATTTTTGTGATGCGACACAAGTGCAAAGTAAATCGCTGCAATTTTCATTGAGCGCTACATTTTTAAGATGTAATTGGTTGTATTACCTAGATTTAGTCCAAGGGCTTTGATCGCTTGCAACGGGTCATCTTGATCGAATGCTAGATGTTGTGTTTTTCGGCGATCTAGAATGTTTTTCTCGCCCTTATGATGTAAATACACAATAGTTACGATCCTACGAATGTCAGAGAAAATTTCGGCCAAATATTAAAATGCGTCATAAAGTTTCCAGATCGTAAAATACAGTGTATGTTATTTGCGATTCAAATGAAATTTGATATTCGATGAAAAAAAAGCAGATAATATTTGTTGATTCGTTTGTGCAAACAATTAAAATATGTTTATGTTTGCTCAAACAAATATCAAATTCCAAACAACCAAACGATTAAATCTTACCCAAGTACAAAGCATAAAATGGAGATAAATAGCACAAATAGCCAATAAAATCCGAAAATGTTGAGTAGAATGCACAGACAAACGCCAAACCAGCTCCAATATTTATACTCCATTATCACTTTTGACTGTGTTTGATGTATTGGATGAAATAAGCAATAACTTTATCAACTGCTGTGCAATGAAAATGTTGTATTGTTGCGGTTTTTGTCGGTCTTTGTTGTTAATCCTTCTTCGCTTGGAGTACATTGAATTAATGCCATGTGCAAAAAAATTATCGCTCAATAAGCAAATACAGTCGATATGTATATAACTTGAACCGAATAAAAATTTGGTGGACTGGAATTTACGATTATTTTCGACAATTTTCTATTTGATATTTGCACTTTCGACGACCATTCGTCACCACATATATTCCAATTGAATGTTGCATAAAAATTAACAACACCATTACACACAAGTTGACCACAGCGTGCATGAGCATATAATTCGATTCATAATTAGCACCAATTCCATGCTGTAGCAGCTGTTTTGCCTATTTTGTATCATGCGATTTGCTCTTTTTTTATCTAGTTTGCTTTTGCGTGCTCGTGTCACTGTGTTTTGTACGTAGTTTTTTATCCTCCGTTTCGTTCACAATTCTATCTCAATTTCAACACAATTCATGCAATAATTCAATTGTTTTTGTATACAATTCTGATGAATCGGTTGAATGACCATCGAAACGCACTGACAATGCTTTTGTGTAATTATTCAATTTGAATCGACTCATTGATTTTGTGTGTGCGATAAGTCTTTTTTCGTTCACAGATTGTGACTTTTCACTTAAACACCTCAAACATATTTAATTAAGTTCGTGAAGTGAGCTATTTCTTCGTTTATTTCACTTAGAATCACAAACACAAGTGGTTTTTATTGAAGAGCTTGAATTTGGCTATCGTTTTTTCCTCTGGCACAAGTTATGTGGTGTTATCAAAATCAAAATAAATGCGAAAATCAACATGAATTAACGCTACACACTACAAAATAAATACTTGTTTTCTTCTCCCCAGTCAGAGGAAAAAACCACATACAAAACAATTCACTTTGACATTTGTTTGCATGTGACAGCTGTGCCAGAAACTTTTTTGTTTCTGATGATTTCATACAGATGGCGTACAAATTCAGTAAGCAGACTTTTTGAATTGACAACATTCGGTCTAAAGTAACCGTAATAATTTGAACACTATTGAAAAATATGACAAATACGTACATACGCTTCATTTATTGTAATACTGAGAATGTTTTCGAAAGCAAGCCTATTGTTTGGAATCTTTTCCTTTACACATCTGATTATTCAGTAGTTAGTCGAAACGATTATCAATTTTCCTTCGATTTGTTTTTATAAATAATGCTTTCGTATTCAGATGCAGGTCCATTATGAAAAAAGGTAAATAATATTGATTAAAAATCGTTCAACCAAATTAACAAATAAATGCGCAATCAACACCGAATTATCAACAACAACTATGATTAAATTATTGATATGTAAACACGAACATTTTCCGTTTTCCTGCAGCTTCTTGCGTGGACAAATAAACAAATAATGAATAAACAAGAACTACATCATCATCGATTGTATTTACTATTTATGTTTGCGTTTGAAAAATTGATAATTTTTGATGGTTTGGTTACATAAAGTGTGTAGGTTTCACACAGAGTATGATTGGAGTGCAAGTATATAGCATTTTTTTATTTTTCCTGATCAATTTTCAAACTTTAATATTTACATCAGTTTTAAATGTTTAATAGATTCAAATGAATTCATACAGAATATTCGATAGTGTTGAGTGTGAATAATGTGGTTTTTCTGGTGAACATATTCTTCAGGTAATGTATATGAATGTGCTGCATTGGCGCCAATTATTATTTAAAATTACAGTTTGGAATATTTCTATTGATTTTATCCACATTTTGAACAAAGTAACTAAACTGTTTTATAGATGTGAGTATTTATACGCTTCAATCCAAATCTTAGTGTGACTTTCAGTTCTGACTGGATATGTGAATACCAATAAAAATTCAACTCTTTTCCAAATGGTTGACGTTGTGACAAAAATCTAGTCGCTCCAACGAACCTCTTCTCCACATTTCAAAATACTTTTTGTTTGTATTATGACAAGAAACTATGACGCAGTGAATGGGTAAGACTACTTCTCATTTCTGAGAAGAGAGAAGAAAGACAAAAACAAAACAGTCAACGAGTAAACTAAAAAGTTTGACGTTGATTTGGCTATTACGGGACATTATCTATGTCAAAAGTATACAAAATCCAAATATCAACGTTGACAATGACATTTCAATTCTCTTATCATCCATAAAATCCAAGAAATAGTTAGTTGTATTCATTTCAACATTGTAAGCAATACCCTTCAGGTATTTTGCGAGTGGTTTTTGTTCAAACAATTGACATCGTAAATTGGTTTCGCCCGCAAAAACTCCTTAAAATTTTATGATTTCTTCCTTGAGTTGCCTCGAAATTCAGCAAACAGAAACTCATATGAAGAAAAAACTAACGCTGTGTATTTACTGAATAGGTCAAGGTTTTAAAAAGTTTTTTTTTTTAAATAAATCAATATTAATGCCAGCTTAAACAGTTGAAGTATCATCAGCTAAAAAAAGCTCAATAAAATTGTTTCGATTTCAATATGTTTCGAATGTTGCAAATTCATTTATTATTCAGCAAAAAGTACAAAATGAAAAGAAAAATGAAAAACAAAGAGAGAAGATTGAGAGAGAGAGAAATAGATGTGATTTGATTAGAAGCACTTTCGGTGAACAATTGATGGTCCACTTTCGTCATACTCTTGTTTTGAGATCCACATCGTTTGGAACGTTGACAACGAGGCCAAAATCGAACCACCAATCCATACAGAGTATTTACGTTCAGGTGGAGCGATAATCTTGATTTTAATCGTTGATGGGGCCAATGTTGTAATTTCCTTCTGCATACGATCAGCAATACCTATGAAGAAGCAACGCATATTGAAAAAAAATGAAAAATACGAGTGAACCAATCCAATCTCACCTGGGAACATCGTTGAACCACCAGAAAGGACAGTGTTTGCATATAAATCCTTACGAATGTCAACATCACACTTCATGATTGAGCTGTAGACAGTCTCATGGATGCCATTCGATTCCATTCCGAGGAATGCTGGTTGGAAAAGTGCTTCGGGTCCTCTGAATCTTTCATTTCCAATGGTGATTACTTGACCATCTGGAAGTTCGTAGCTCTTGTCGGATGATGATGAAGCCGATGCAAGAGCAACTTCTTGTTCATAATCCAACGCGACGTAGCACAATTTCTCCTTAACATCACGGACAATTTCACGTTCGGCTGTTGTTGTGAACGAATAACCACGTTCAGTTAAAATTTTCATTAGAAATTCGGTAAGATCCCGACCAGCCAAATCCAAACGGAGGATAGCGTGTGGCAATGCATAACCTATGTGTGAAAAGAAAAATGGTGATGAGAACCAGTTCAAATGTATGTGTAAAGCAGTTGATTGAATGACAAGAAAAATGAATTAATTACCTTCATAGATTGGCACAGTGTGAGTTACACCGTCACCGGAGTCGAGAACGATGCCAGTCGTACGACCGGAAGCATACAGTGACAAAACAGCTTGAATTGCCACATAAACGGCCGGTGACTGAAATGTTTCAAACATAATTTGTGTCATTTTCTCTCGATTTGCTTTTGGATTCAATGGGGCTTCGGTCAAGAGAACTGGATGCTCTTCTGGGGCGACACGCAATTCATTGTAGAAGGTGTGATGCCAGATCTTTTCCATATCGTCCCAGTTGGTGATGATACCGTGCTCAATTGGGTATTTCAGTGTTAAAATACCACGTTTGCTTTGCGCTTCATCGCCGACATAACAATCCTTTTGTCCCATACCGACCATCACACCTTGATGACGTGGACGACCGACAATTGACGGAAATACGGCACGCGGTGCGTCATCACCAGCGAAACCAGCTTTGCACATGCCCGATCCATTGTCGAGCACAAGGGCTCCTGCATCATCATCACACATTTTTATAAATTATGAAAATCTGCAATAAAGTCATAAACAAACAAATTAAATGCGAGAACACCTAAAAGCAACACTGTTTCCGATTGCACTTCTTCTTCGATACAAATGAGTGTGTGTGAATTTACAACAAAGTTTTCTCGATTTTCCGTTCTTTATTGCGTTTCGATACAGTTTAAATGTTTTCCTTAACTCAGCAACTTTGCTCAGCTCACTTCGCACTGAATCAGCCGAACAAAAAAAAAACTAGAAACACAGCAGCTACAGAATAAAAACTTTGCCCGTAAAACGTAAATACGAACTCAAATCGTTCTAGTGGTTATTCGTTCATTAGTCTCTGGTTGTCGCTGCAGTTTCCGTTTTTAGATTTGTGTTTGTTTGTTTTTTTGTTCTCTAAGTTGCTGCTGTGTGAAATTACTTTCGGAAAAGTTTTGCCATTTGTCAGAAGACAATGGTGGCGGCGTTAGAATATGAGTAGTGCATTGGGAATTGAAAAGTGTGCAAATGAAAAAAGCTCCTTGGTAAATAAGTGTTTTTGCACTTAAATCAAATTCATTGGCCCAAGTACTTCTTATTACAAGCAGTTGCATTACAACGATTTCCTCGAAAGGGAAAGATAGAGAGAGAGACGGAGAATTGCCATATTCACTTGATTTTATTCAAATTTAATTATGAGAAATAGAAGCCATATATACCAATTTCTCAATGAACTATTCCAAATTTATAAATCACTTTTGGGAAAGTTCATGTAAATATTTGCATTTGGATTGAATTTGCAATCGGACAATTTTACATCTGTTCAGACTACCAATAAATAAATGAACGAACAAATTTTCTTTATGTAACAAAATAGTGCATGTATCACGCAAAAGCGTGTGTCTTGGCTCTTCGGAAACCAAAGAAAAACTTTTTGAAAATTGAGTTCTTCCTTGACAAGAACTTTGCATCTTTTTAGTTGAACACAACTTTTGTGGAAAATAAACTAGATTCTCCATACTTTGAAAAGACAAATAAAACATTTGAGATTAAAGCGTTAGCTACAAATTTAAATCCTCCGTCGAAGTCGAACTTCATGACTTCAAAGTAAGAAAACAAATCACTGCACCACGGAACTATGAAGCCACACTTTTGAAAAAAAAAATAAACTTAGTTTGCAAATGCTCGAAGCATACAATAAAAATCGCAAATGGCACAATGATAGCACTTTTTGTATCGAAAATGGATTGAATTTGTGAAAAATGTACCGAAACTCCTCGCGAAATGAGAACAAATTGAATTTAAATTCGTTGCTAACCAGCAAATACACTGCACAAACTGTGAACGAGTTGACGTTTGACCGTATAAATGAAATCGATAATCTATTTCGCTGTCAATTTATAGTTGAGCGATCACACTCTCAATGTAATCACATTCAATTTAAATGCAATGTCGTTTGGTCTATTTGTAGCATCATCTTGTGATAAATCACTGTGCGAAAGCTCATGGGACGATGCATTTCAACGCACACAATCCATAGAAGGATCGAATTGTAAGCGGATACGTAACAAATGAGCGGAAAATAACGGGTCTCGTCCACTTTTTTTTGTATTGTTAAAAGCGCGACTGAGCATCGCATCCTCACGCTCGACGCGTTTCATACATATTTTATTGCGATTTTGCTTTCGAATCGATATTTATTGGCATGTTGTTATCTGTCCGATTGGTAGTACAATGCCAACGGCCAATAATAGAAACGCATTTCGAAAAGAAAACCACAAGTGACATTTATTTCGAATTCAGTCTATTCAATGCAAATTTCACTTGTAAAACACGAATGTGTTGACAGAATGTGCTGGTATTTATTACATTGCCTCTCTCCCACACATCGTTTTTTTTCTTTTACTCTCGTAATCCGGGTGCCTATTTATAGCGATGCCACACACATACATTGTTCAATATACAATTTGATTGGACAGTTTTCTTCGAAAACGTTGAAGTCACACGTATTCTTGATTGTGTCAAGCCCGATCAAATGGCATTTGAAGGTAGCGCCACGGCTTTCTTCATATACCTATGCCACTATTATTCGTTGACATTTTCAATTCTCTGCTTTTTCACTCTGTTTTCTTTATTTTTATTGTTTGCTCAAACAGAATCAACAAGTGAACAGGTTGCTGTTCTGCGAACGGATAGGCTTGCATTTTCCTCACTTTTTCAATCACTGTTGTCAACCATTATTTGTTTGTATTTCATGTGTTTTTCGTTCTATTCAAATTCGACATAGTTGAAAAAGCAGTCGTGAGGCGTTGTCAAACGGAAAAAAAAGAAACATTATCAATTCAATAGAAAAACTTTAAGTGAAAATCTTATCGATATGATGAAAATGGTGGAAATTCAATTCAATTCACCGACAAGACATTTCACTTTTATATCGTGTGAAACGTTCATTGTTGTGAGTGACAACATTCTTATGCGGAACGCGTATCTATCGACAACTACTCTACATGCTCATTATTCTTTGGGTATTGTGCGCTTTTTTTATATGTTAAATTCCCTTTTTTTCGTTAAAAATACAGTTGCAGCTAAATGAAAAACGAATCAAATGGTAATAATTCAAACGGTTGAATAGAATGTGTATGGGATTGTGCATGCTTGAGGCGGAATTCAATGTAGAAAAATAACTTTCATCCCACTCTCAAGATTCATCGATGAACAGCGCATCACTTTGTTAAATCGTTCTAATCAATCAAATTGTGCAAGAAACGTTTACCCGAACACGATAAGCTCACACGAAATGTCAATAAATAAAGACGAAGCGTTGAGTTGGCGCAATCGCCTGCTTATCATTTTCATTATTGTTGGTGATTTGTTGTTGTCACGGCGGGCATCCGCATTGATCGGTAATAATGAAAATAGAGCACCGACTACAGAGTGTATTTGTTGTGATGACAATAGTAGTGCTTGATGGCAACATCTGTTCAATCCACGCACACACACACATATATTTAAACCACACGTTCCGATGAGATAACAAGCGATTTAACAACTAAAACATTGATTTAAAATGTATGCCATGCACACCGCTGCTGAATTCAAATCAAACAAATGAAGCACACGTTCGTGTCATATTGAAGCAAAAAAAAATAGTTTACATTATTTTCGAAGTGGCAAGAAACCTCATTTTGTCTAACGAAGCGATTTATTCATTTGCTTACTCGGAAACTGTTTGAAATTATAGTTGCTGCGACAACGTCAACGGTGAACGGAATGGTTTTTGTGGTTTTTACAAAGTTATCTGCTCAATTAGAGGTGATTAAATAAATGAACAGATTTATCGACACTTATCTATACCTTTAACGAGTTTAAAATGGATCGATTCTATCGCATTGAACGTGGCTTACACAAAAACCAATACAGCAAATGGTAACTATTGAAGGATGCAACAATTACAACCGCAAAATGTTGTAATAACATCGGATTTTGTGCTCTTGTCTTGACTCAACATGTTATAAGCGTGCATCGAGAAACTAAAACAATTCCAATTATTTAAGCCATTTTATCCATCTTCTCTCTTCAAATCAAAGGTGGCTTTTGCCCTTTCTCACTAAGTCTTAAGTACAAAGTTTTTTATGTAGGGTCGTAGCTTCGTTTAAAGGTATATCACATAGCAGATGTGAGCGAAATGCTGCCAAAAAGACGTGCATGTAAACTGCATTTACAACTTTTGGATTTTCGAGCACCCACAGCAAGAACAAACATGAAGAACAAAACCAAAAGATGAATCCACTATACTTTTTGTTCATCGATAAAGTTTCTTCGGTTCTATCATCATTTTTCAAGAAGTTCTGGCATTTATCTATTATATAATAATACATAGACGTTAAAAAGAGAAAAGTTGTTGCTGCTTGACTGATTCATTTTGCAAATGAGAACAATATTCTTCAGATCGAAATGTCTACGTAAACGTGCTCCCAGTTACGGATTGACTTTGAAATCTTTATACGTTAAAGAAAACATACAGAACCAACAAAGCGCACTCTTTTTTCTTTATGTTTACTTTGGTTTTCTTTTCTCGAAACTTATTGTACGTTTGCAAGTGTGTCTGTGTGTTCGTCGCACGTTCGAAAACCGTTCGACATTGTATTGTTACTGAATTGTATGTTTCTTTTATGTGCAAAATACAAGGGCTTTTCGAAAGCTTTCATATTACATTGATCTGAATGGGAGATTTGAAGGCAACGATATTCTTGTCAAGGTGTCGTTTTTATAAAGCCTCAACAATGCATATGTTATTCGTGCAATATGTTCAGGCAGAAGCAATCTTATTTGAATTGTTAAAGAATGAAAGGGAACGGCAGAAATGGCATGAAGACCGGAATCGTAAAATGTGATAGCGTATATTTCGTTAACAAAATCGTGGTGGAATTTTTAGTGAAATTGAAATTTTGTTGCCATTCGTTCTATATTTAGACCACATCTTTGCATGCACAAATCCAACATTTCACCATCAAAATATTACTTTTTTTACTATTGCAATAACATAATACACTATATGCCTTCAAAACATATACTCACTATGTGAAATAAAAAAGTATTTACTTCCAGAAATGAGAAAACATAAAAACAGGTGATAAGTAAAAAAATGACATTTTAACACATTCTAATGTATATTTTGGTAGGTAATGCGTTTTCCACCGTTCAGTAAATCCATAAATAAATCAAGCTTAGCGCAAAATTCAATAAGCATTTTTTTTTCTTTAATACATAACATCATTTGCCAACTGTGTATTCAATGTCTATAGTTAACAGATATTCGGATTTTATGCTTTTTTCACTTCGTAACATGCAGACAAAAATACGACATTGATTTCGAGCTAGTTTTTATTGTATATGCTTTCTGTTCAGAGTGAATGATAGTGAATCATTCTTACTATGACTTCATTATACTTCAATTAATACTAGTACCTGCTGGCTTAGAGTTCTGATGGAAGAACAATTGTTCTTAAGCAGTGAATAGATTGGGCTACAGCTATAGCAGTGCTATTTTCACAGCTCATATTCATAGGTGCTATTTGTGAACAACGCATACGGACAGCGATTTTATGATACAATTCCGGACAATAGACCTATTGATTTGTTTATGCAAAAAAATACTAAAATCAATAAGTCTATTGTTCTATTTACATTTCGAACGTTTCGTTCGGAATTGTATCATAAAGACGTAAATAGCGCCTATGAATAGGAGCTGTGAAAATAGCACTGATATAGCTGTAGCTCAATCTATTCACTGTTCTTAAGTATATTGAGCCAACTCCAAATACAATAAATAGTAAATGTGGCAGGTGAGAAATTGATAGGTGACTCACCTGAGAAGATTTTTACATTATTTCCAATGACTTTCAGAGAATGAAATTGTCACTCACGTAGAGAGCGCGAAAGCTACTCGTAGCTATGAATGTGTCTTAATCTCACTAACGTTGTTTGTAATAGATTGAGCTACCGAAAAAAGTCAATTTCCGGAAAACAAATTGAAGGCGCTAATAACTAAGTGTCTTTGCAGCAATGGTGTGGTTTTGAGTTGGCTGAGATTCTCTCTGACTCTCTGAATGTAGACATCTAAAATACTGAAATAGAATTCTACATTCAGACCGATTCAGACGCTTAACGGCCTAATGTACAAATTATGTTCAGTTGGCGATTCGGCTGTACATACAAAGACCGTTCAGAATTGGTTGATAGATATTTCAAGAAAGCAGCACTACATGCGGTCATAGCACAATTGAAATATTAAAAATGATTGAAATCAAGTTAGAGACAAAAAAAACGTTAATCACTGAACGATGGACTTTTTAAAGAAATATATACTGACATTATTCTGTTCGCTAGCAGTCCGATCACAAAACTGTTTAGATAATATCTGTATTAAGTTTTACTACGCGTTGATTTTTTATAACTGTAAATTCGGTCGACCACTTTCAAATATTCTCGTGTAATCAATATGACCAAAAGATAACCTTGATTTTAGTATGCAAAAAGGAAACCTTTCTTTCTTCATTTTCTTTAATAATTTCTCAGCTGGAAATTGTTAATTGTGAGAACTTCATACACATGTAGATACCACTATTCTATGTAACTAATCGTGTTAATACAAATCAAAATATATTCCCTTTGATGATCAATAACATTATTTGTGGTTTCTTTGATAGATAGGCATTTAATATTCAGTAAATGCACCTCATAACAACTTTTCATCCATTTTTCGCATTTGATATTTAATCAATTGACCCGGAATTTTCTTGTTTTGTGCTAAATTTATTGGGCCGACTGTGGTTATTGCATAAAAATAATACTTTTCATGTGTTTGTGAATTACTTATTCATCTAAAGATGGGAGTTTTTCTCTGCTTCCATTTCACTTTAGTACAAAGTGGGTACGTGGGTACTCAAAATTTAGTCGCCAAACAAACCCTGCTTTTGACAAATATATTCGTAAACGGCTGCGTACAGTCGTGTTCGATGGACGACGCATTCTCAGTAAGATACACCATGTTGTGGATGACAGCAGATCTGAGTGAAACTCTGATAAGAAATACATTCTATGCTGTGCAAATTTGATTTCAGAAATATTGAAGAATGAACTACCGTTTGAGTTTCGCAAAAGTAGAAAACAAAAAATGGTCGTCAATTCTGAATCTTTTAATTTTCAGTGCAGTTTGAAATTATTAGTAGGTGCATGGCTACGGTGCTGATATTAGCAATTTTGTGAAATATTTGTCAGAGTTTCGCTCACCGCTGCTGCCATTCATCCGCGCATGCGAAGGTACGTAGCAGTTTTTACATCACAGCGAACAACAATACGTGTAACTTGAAAAATGAAAATAATGATACATTTTGGCTGATTATTAGAGATCATTTTCGAAAATGAAGTAAACTGAAACTGTTAAGAAATATGACTGATTGAATGCATTTCACAGGTCCAACTTTTATACTAGTTTTCCACTGTAAGAACTGAGTCAGCTTTTCACACATGTTTCAATTCTCAACATACATTTGATCTACGTCTTTTAACAACTCAAATAGATATATTTGTCATGAAAAAACAAAGGAATAAATGATTAGATGAAACCTTTGAGTAAAGTAAATTGTGAGAAATGCTGCACATTTGAAGCGTTTTTATCATTTTGCTGACATAGAATGGCACAGAAAAAGAATAAAATTAGCGAAACTCGTCTTTTTATTTCTTTGCTTCATATTCGCCACGACGGAATATTTAGTTTGTGGTAAAAAAATAAACAGTATCTTGCCTCAAAGAAACCTTTATTCCATCCATTTTACAGTCAAACGTCAGTCGTTTTTGGACCAAGGACGTCAAACGATTGTTGGAAGAGATATCGAATAACAACATATGCCTTATTTCACATCAACTGAACGTAAAAACACCATTGGCATTGAAGATTCAGAATTTATAATTCTTTAATGATCGAGAATACAGGACAAAAGGATTGATCGATATCAGTGTGTTTTAAATTAATTGTTCCATTCTTTAAAATGAGGGCAACCGATGCACTCGACGCAATAATCTGTGACAAAATCAAAGCTACAGAAAAGCCAATATATGCCCATTTCTTCGTGATCGTGATTTGGTTTAAAAAAGTCGTGAAAGGAAAGTTAGAAGAAATTACAAAACACCAAATACACCTTATATGGATGCATGTTCCATTCATATCAATTCAAAAACACACACTAATACACAGAGAGAAAAAAATGTGGTATTTTTTATTCAATTTTGGTAGATTTAATATAAAATCAACCAACAACGAATTAAATATACCATTTTTCACATCTCTGAGGCATATTTTTCAAAAGAGACTATCACTTGAATAATTTTTACCAATTGCTTCATTAAATTCACCAAATTCATGGGCTTGATCATTAAAAATTCTGAATCATCAATGCCAATAGTGTCATCACATTTGGTTGGTGTAAAGTAAAGGCATTCAATATCCAACAAGCTTGACGTTTGATTGTGAAACGGAAAAAAGGTTTCTTTGAGGCAAGAGGATCAATACTTTTTCTTTTTTTAACACAAAATAAAATAAAATATTCCGGCGTGGCAAATATGAAGCGGAGAAATGGAACGACAATGAGTATGTCATTGATTTTATCCTTTTTTTGTGTCAGCAAAATGATAAAAACGCTTTAAATGCACAGTACACCATTTTCCCCATTTCTTTTACTCAAAGATGTCATCTAATTATTTATTCTTTTGATTTATTATGATAAATAAGTCTATTTTGGTTTTAAAAAATACGTGGATCAAATGCATATTGAGAATCGAGGCATGTGTGAAAAGCTGACTCAGTTCTTACAATGGAAAACTGGTATAAAAGGAAGAGCTGTGAAATGCATTCAATCAGTCATATTTCTTAACAGTTACTGTTCAGACCTATTTTCGAAAACGATCTCCAGATCAATTTAAAAAGTTGAGTTTATAATGAAACCGATACCAAGTGTACAGCAAATTATAACATGGCTTTGTCTCTTGCCTCCGGATAATTATACAAGTGTTTGGAAGAAACGGGCATACATTGGCTTTTCTGCAGCTGTGATTTTGTCACAGATTATTAGTTCGATTGTATCGGCTGCCTTTATTTTAAAAAATCGAACCAATAATTTCGAACAAACCTTATATGCATGTTGTATACTTATCTATTCGTTGGCCAAAATATACACAGCGTTGGTTGCATTTTATGAGCGACGTGGATTATCTATTATTGTGTCAAATTTAACAAAAATCTATGATACAGGCAAGCCTACATGCAAAATTACTACTTTTAAAAATGTAACAAAAAAGATCACTTACAAAAATCTACCTTATGTTTATTCCAAATTTAGACAAAGATGAAGATTCATTTGAATTTTTGGAACGAGCAAATGAAAAATGTGAATGGTTATTGAAGTTTTATTTCAAATGGGTGGCCATATTTCAATCGGTTTCTTATCCTATAATTGGTATTAGCTCAATGTTGTTTTGTTTGTATTTGCACGGAGAGCTAAAGAGAGATCATTTATATGTGCCACTTAATTTTGTGTGAGTAACTTTTGTCCAATTATGCATTTTCAATATTTTTAAACTCACGAATGACTTATCTATTTGCATCATCGTCAGTCTACCCTGGAATCAAACAACACCACTTGGATATTGTGGTGAAATCTTTGTGGTCGTTCTCTTTGCTGTTTCTTATTTCGTTATACACGGTGTCTCTTTCTTGATATTCATTTCGATGTGTTTTCATCATGAAGCATTTTATGAAATGTTTCAACATAAGATGCGCAAATTAAATCATCCCGATGAGAACGGCAATGAGAGAAAGTTACTTTGCAAGATTATTCAGTTCCAAATTTCGATTAGAAAGTGAGTAAATGCTCCAAATTCCATTTTATATTTTGGTGAAACTAAAAACTAATACGGATTTGTATTTTTATTTAGTTGGTTTTTACATTCGTCTAAGGTCTATACACTTGTCATTATGATCGAACTAATTCAAAATATGTTGGGTTTGGCAATTGTCATCTTTGAATTGGAGATGGTAGCTAACTTCTACTCTTTCCAATCAATTCATTTAATTTATTATATGTTGTTCGTATATTTCAGCAATCAAAACATATTAGTATTGATGGTTTGGTTTTCTTCTTGGGAACCTTAGTTTCAATTGGGAATTTGTTTTTGTATTGCCATTTTGGAAAATTAGCTTCCAATAGCTATGAGAAAATGACAGATTGTCTTTATAATGATTGCAATTGGATGTCGTTACCTAATGATCTTAAAAAGAACATTCTCTTTATGATTCAAATGTCGCAAAAACCCATTTTCTACCATGGATTCGGAATCCTTGAGCTGAATTTGGAAACGTTCACTAAGGTAAGTTTAACTTTCATTCATGCCGTGTAACAGGGCTGTAATTTTCACTCTTGCACAAAAGTTTGACATTTTAAAGTATGGTTTACAATTATTGGACAACGGTCAAAAATATCAAACGTGTGGCTTGCTCATTTAAAATACAAGGATTGTGTGCGTCGCAATTAGTTCTACACACAGTGAAAAATTATAAAAAATAGTTTTATTCGTGAAAAATATTTTTTTCTCGGAATAAGATACTCCACAAATACAATTCACTTTTAGAAGCCAATATCCAACACTTTCTGATTGATATTTTTCAATTTTTTTTTGTTTCAGTTTATGAAGACCACCTGCAGCTATTACATGATTTTGAAAACTTTGAATGACAAATAAATTACAAAATTGTTTCTGTTAAAATCAACATCGTAGCAATGCACCTGTTGTACCTAATAATGATTTCACATTGCATTGAAAACTAATAGTTCCAGAAATGAAGAATTTTTTTTTGTTTTCAACTTTTGCGAAAGTGAAACCTTTTTTGTTCTTCAATATTTCTGACACAAAATTTGTACAGGATAGAATGCACTTTTTTTTACTGCACTTCACAATATCAATTTCTGGCTGCGGCATTGTTTATTGAATTACATAAGACTTTTTTTCTGATATCTTTTATTATGTAATGTGAAAGTAAACCAAATAAGTCTTTTTCTTGCTTACACCTAATTTATATAACATAAATTCCATCGAGATATTTCGGAGATATCCCACTCGATAACGGAAAGTGATTGTGCATCATATAGAATAGCTTTTTTGGAAGTGAGGAACCTTTATTACTCACATTTTCCCAGTGAATAGAATGATCCAACAGATATAGCAGCGCAATTTTCATAGCTCCGATGCACAGGCGCTATTCGGGCATACCGACAGCCATTTTTATAAGCATAAACACAATACAAATACAAAATTATTCATAATTGTCATTGAAATGTAATTTGAATAAAATTTATTTTCATGACGAATACGCTAACGTATCAATTCAAAATACATTTTTATCGGTACACGGATCGAGGTGAAAATGGCTCCGATTCAGTAGTTCCTATTTAAAGTGTTCGTAAAAGTGAAATATAAGAGAAATAAATATAAGCCAATATTTTACTCTGTTTATGGTGCTGAATGTTTTGAAAATTCATCAATTTTTCTAGTTTTAAACCGAAATCTTAATCAAATAATTCTTATAAATTTCTTTTAAATTATTTCGATTCTATTATCGGAAACTTTGAAAAATAGCTTCCCAATGAAGATGGCGATACGTCGAGTGCTATCAGTAACATTGATATCAACGCGGTACCTTCCGGACGGAATTAGAGGTTGAAGTGCCATCTGACGAACTGAAACACTGTTGGCTTTAATATAAACCGTTCCATTGTACGGGCAAGGGTGATTCAAATTTGTGTATTTTCGAACAATTTTAAGCGTAAAATCCAACAAATAGTTAACCCTTTTCTTCGATAGCCATCCGCACATGTCTTCCCATAAGTCGATTGCATACTTTTGGTATGTGTTGTATTTGTAATAAAACACCATATGGGTCCAAATTTCATGGAGAGGCTTGCTTAAATTACCAACAATATCGAGCTTTACATGAGTATGATTCAAATTCCTTACATCACAGTACCAAGATGAGAGATTTTCATTGTTCGGTTTCGATACGCATAGAAATTTTTCCAGCATCAAAGTGTTTTTCTAATTGAAATCAAAACAATTATAAAAAACAATTTAATTGAAATGCAAAGATTATGTAAAATAACTCACTGATGCTTGAATTGGTTCAAATAAATTGAAACTGATGGCCAGCAGAGGTATAAATGCCAGCAAAATTCTGAGAAGTATCTTCATTTCTTCGGTGTTATTTATATACTGATAGTAAAGCGAGAAATTGCAAATGCTTCAGATGCTTTGTACTTTTGATTTGATATAGTTGAATTGCGGAAATAGAAGTTCAATTATTATTATAACATTTTCAAATTGAGGTTTACATTAATGTCTTTTTAAATACGCAAATTAAGTAAATTAAAGTCAATATTATTTGGTATAACTTTGCTTTTAATCTCTGCATTGAACGATTTATATAGGCTCCAATTATAAATATTTGATTTGGAGTTTTTCAAATTCTATGGTGTTCAACTGAAAGATACAAAATAACCGAAATAACATGTCAATAATTAACCTAAATATTATTACAATTATAATTTTATTTGGATTTGGAAAATTGCCAGTTTTTGCTGAAGCGTAAAAATAATGCTGAAACAAACAAATTAAACCGAATCTCATAATATCCAGACTTACACAGATCTCGTCGAGACATCAGTGGATACTCTCCCAATATCATCGATCCGGACTGAAAATAAACATGATTCTCTGCAAAGTCAATGCTGTTCAGTTAAATACACATTGGGAAAAGTTCATACAATAAAATTAAATTCATTTTGTGTCTGATAGAGTTACATATATGTTGTTGTTGTTGTTTCCGCTTCAATGGCATGAATTGATATTAGCAATGATATACTCCTTAAGACTTCGTTAAGTTAAAGGCAATATGTAATATTAAATCATTATTCCGGACGATTCCGTATGGATTTTATGAAACGGTATGATTCTGTATTCAGTCTGCAATGCCATAACATAATCCATTTCCAACAATAATCCAAAGAAAAATACGTTTTTGGATTAATTAAACAACTGTCCAATTCAGATATAACTGTTAAATAACTGTCTCACCTGAATACTATTGTATTTTTTCCTTCTCGTTTATATAAACGAGATATTTTCCAGCCGAACAAAGAAGCGCCGAGATTTTTTTTTGCACCAGTCACCTCTCAGGAAATGAAAATGATTTAAAGAATTTCAAACAATTTTCTGAAAAATTAAAAAAAAATTATAAAAAATACGATTCTTTTGAGCAAGCACCCCGCACAATAATTTAATTATGAAGATATTTTCAAACATGTTTGGCCAATAATTCGATTTACGAGAAAACGGCAAAATGTTTGATGCTGACGCATATCATCTTGCCGGTCAAGCTGGTAAAATATGTGGTGAAGCCTTGACCTGTACGTGTATATGTGACTATTTACGTGTGTTGAACAAGGCAAATGAAACACAAACAGAATTCACGGAATTACTGTTTCTCTTGAATTCGGAATTTTCATAACGAATGTTTGGTGTATGAATTGTGTATGAAGTAGAACGACCATTGTTTTCATTGCTATTTAATAAGTCTATACGCAAAGAAGAGTTAAAATTAAAATACGTCACGCAATCTATGTATTCGGAAATTCAAGCTGTTTTGCATGCTAAAAATGACATTGTTGTTCAATCAAAAAACCCTTCAAATTGTACAACATATTGAAATCATTTTTTGCAAGTTTTTCCACAATGTTTACGTTCAAAGAAAACCGCGTATCCACATGTCGCATCATTTTGTACAAAAAAGCGGGTGGATTGACAGTGTAAATGTCGAATGACACCATTTGAATTTTGCTGTACTGGAATAAACATTCTTTACGGAAGTTTCTCAGCATATTTAATGACGAAAAAAGTATATTTGATAAGTTCGTTAATGAAAGCAGGAAATTCCTCAAAAGGGAAGTTGTTTTGTGAGTTCATTTGCTTTCTGCTGATTTATGTTTTTTTTGCTGACAATTGAAGCATCCGCACACATTACCAAGAATCTAGCACATAATTAAGAGGCAATTAAATCATGGTATTTTACACAGAAATGTTCATGAAATTATCAAAGCGCACATATAATACACAAATATACATGCAAAGTACTATCTCAGTCAGTCAGAGAAGCTTGAAATTTATTTATTATCGACATTCCCAACGTACGTGTTGAATAGGATTTGGTGTGTTTATGAAGGTACTATTTTTAAATTTCACGATCAAAAAATTGTTTTGTCACTAATGCCATGTAATTGCAATTAAAAATTTTAATGTGGTTTTTACAACCGTATCTCATGTGAACATATATAAGTTAGCGAAATGATCAAGTAAAAGCAAGCATTTCATCTCCATTGCCTTAAAGTTAACTGAATTTTCTTCGTCTTTGAATCGGAAATTTTGAAACTGTCATTATGACAGTCTGTCATATTATGTTTCGTTCCGAGTGCACCTGTAATGGATCCACATGACAACATCAACATTACGTAGAACACATTCATGCTTTACAACACATTTACGGTAGTCATACACATGTGTTCTCGCATCAAATATGAAATGTTTTGATTTAATTGAAGTAAAATCCATTACCAAACATACAATGATTTGTGAAACTGATAATTAAAATGGAAATTGATGAAAATATGACGTCATTTGAGTTGAAGAACCTCCAGATGCCAATGCAAGCACACAATTGCTAAAAATAGAGTTTTTGAAATATTTCAAAGGTTACAAACACAAACGTGCGATATGCAAATTTATTTTCAATGCTAATTTCTTGTCATTCACCATATGTTTCACTATTTGAATTCAGTTTTCCCAACAACGATAAAATTGTTAAATTGTTATGATCAGCCAGACGTTAAAAGTGTATTATGAAATATGGTAAAAATAAGGCTCGACCGACGGTGTCGGCACATTGTCTAAGGAGCTTGCGTGGAGAATTCGAGACTGGGGAAAGAATTTTCCGCATTCATGGAACACGTTCAACAGTTTGTTTTGTATCGATATATAGTAGCGACAAACGTTCAACGTTGTTATTGTTACCGTTTCATTGTACGATTTTTTCGTTCTCCACATCATGCGTTTCCCCTTTTTCACGACACACACTCGACAAATTCACAACTATCTCCGTATAAAATTGAATGTTGCATGGATTTTCCGTTCAGTTGATGTTTGGATCTCAATTCGACATCATATCTTCAATATTCAATTGTTCGAACAAAATATAACGTGTTGAATTTCGTGTTGAATCCAACAATATAATATTTATGCATCGCATATATTTAAATTAACGTTATGCATATTTTTTTTAAAACCATTCGAAATCGTATTTTTGTGAGTTTTATTGTCTTTATTCCCGTTCAGAACATCAGCACATTGTAAAGTAGCAGAATGAAAATACGTTAGTATTATTACAACGTCGAAATTATTGGATTTTAAAAATGTGTGTCTTTTGAAAAAGTGTGTTATGTTTCACGTTTGGCGGATTTTAATGATTGCGCGATAAAATGTGTTTTGATTGAAGTGTGAACTCAAAATTTTATGCTTTGTGCTTTCGAGTGTGAGCACGCTTGAAAAACGGTAAATTTACAATTTCGAATCATTCGATTCTCTTTTGATGTAAAATGGCAAAAAAATTTGATTAAACTGTACCAAATGTATGTGACATGGAAAAAATGTTTGAATAGAAAGCGATAGCAAGTAAATACCATTTTTTAATATCGATATTATATTTTGCCGTAACATTTTTTACAAAAACCACAAGACAGCGTGTGGATAAAAAAGAGGTGAAAAATTGACTATCGATCGATTGACATCGCGTGTATTTTGTGGTGTCGTGCATATAAAAGAAATCTTCTCACCTATGTAAGATGTTCTCAAAATGAATAAAGTTATTGTCTTTTGTCTTTTTTCTTCTCTCTTGACGTAAAATACCGATAAACAGCAGTGAGTGAAGGTCGTGAAGAGACATAGTGAGAAAATGCTATAAAATTTGAACCAAAAACACATAAAATATACACAACTTTTGATGTAATTGCGTATAGACTGCTAGAGTGTATTTAATTGATGATCAAATGAAAAATAGGACGTAAAGCATTTTATCCAGACAAATCTAGCCATAAACATCACCACTTGCATGAGCGAAATAACGAAAACATTGAATAATTTGTGTATATGATCGGCCAAAACATTTTGCCACTCATCGTCAATGGTCGTTATTTAGATACGGCTAAACACTAGCAGAAATCAAGAGAAAAAAACCGTAAGTATTTGGATGGCATATAGTAATTTACTAATAAGTGTGTTTTTATTGCGCAATTTCGAATAGATTTCAGTTTAATCGCAGACATTATATTGAGATATTTTCA